TACGTGTGGATAAACCCCGCACGTGTTATGTTTGAATACTAAAGTACCCTTAAAGAGTCTGAAAAATCACATAAATGCCACCCTTATTGTCAAGTCGTTGTTGAAATTTGGGGTTTTGGATTCTCCGATTTGGAGAGAGAGAGAAGAAATGGGGAGGAGGATTTTGAACGATGCGTTGAGGACGATCGTGAATGCGGAGAGAAGAGGCAAAGCGTCGGTGGAGTTGAAGCCAATCTCCACCGTCATGTCTTCCTTCCTCAGAATCATGAAAGAAAAAGGTGAATTTTTCTCCCTTTTTTTTTGTTTGTTCAATTGATTCGTCATTGGAAATTCGTCAATTTTCATCCATCTGAGATTTACGTTTTTTCATCTTCGTCTGTGTACTGGTCACATGGTGGTGCGAAGTGAAGGGTCTAGCTCTGTGATTTAGTTTTCTATCTTGGTTAATGGTGAAGCTATAGCATATATCGAAACTTGAAAGAAAGTTTAGAGCTTTTGCTTCGAGTTTCATTGGTCTTGATTGCTTTGATCTGCTTATGTTTTGGGAATTCATCTTTTAGGTTGATAACATATTCTTTTGATAGATGGATTGTTTATAGTTGTAAGTATCTTTAGTGTTTGTTGAAATTGGCTTTTTCTTTATATGTTAAATGTAGGGTATATCAAGAACTTTCAAGTCTATGATCCACATAGAGTTGGTAGAATAACAGTTGATCTGCAAGGGAGGGTTAATGACTGCAAAGCTCTTACCTATAGACAAGACGTTAGGGCGAAAGAGATTGAGAAATACACAGAACGCACACTTCCAACGCGTCAGGTTTGTCCCCGGCGAGTTTATTTTCACCTTTGCCCTATCAAGAAATGAAGCATTACTTTAACCTTGTTGAATTGTTCATGTAGTGGGGTTATGTTGTAATCACAACTCCGGATGGGATTTTGGACCATGAAGAAGCAATTAAACGGAATGTGGGTGGTCAGGTTCTTGGTTTCTTTTATTGAAGAGCTTAATCTAGCACATGACAAGATGCTCTAGTGTTAAAGAACTCAATGAAAGTTTGAAGTTTCGATCCTTAGAACATGTTATTCATGTGGTTTTGTTTTGGGTATCTTGCACCGTCTTTGAACTAATTGGCAATTGAATAGACATTTTGCTTGTTAAACTCAAAATTCTACAGAATGAGCATTTCCAACATTTTGTTGTTTGATGATGTTCAAAGTCCATTGATTTTCATAATTTTGTATATTCAAGATAATTGATCATCTATGTAAGAAACCAAAAGGCAAAATAATGTTCATGTGTATGTTATACTTATACGCATACGTAACAAATAAAGAACTTCACGGCCAAAAACAAAAAATCCTCAGCAAACAGAGTCAAACAAAAGAATGAGAGCTAACAAACAATGAATATGAATATATCAACAGACGGGAAAGAAAACCAGGTGAATATATCAACAGACGGGAAGGATAAGCAGACAAAATTCATCGACGAAGAGCCCCGAGCTTGGCAAATATGTCGTCGTAATCTGGGAGCTTTGGATGAACATGGCCAGCTTTCTCCTTCGCGGAAGTTTCTGGGTCAGGAGGTGATTTCACAGGTTTGGGAAGTGAGCTTGTGGATGAAGCTGACCCTTCTTGCCTAGCCAGTGACTTGGCCTCCAGAGTAAGCTTTGGAGATGATTCTTGATAATGAGAGACTTTGTTGGTTTTTGGAAGATAGGTTGAAGAAGAAGCTGATTCATGTTGCTTAGCTGCTGGCTTGGCCTTTGGACCTGGATTTGGAGAAGATTCTTGATAAGCTTTGTCGGTTTTTGGAAGAAAGTCTGAAGACGAAGCTGATCCTTGTTGCTTAGCTAGTGGCTTGGCCTTGGAAATTATCTTTGGAGGAGATAGTTGATCACGAGAGACTTTGTCGGGTTTTGGAAGAGAGCTTGAAAAAGCTGACCCTTGTTGCTTAGCCAATGGCTTGGCCTCAGGAATTAGCTTTGGAGGAAATTCTTGATCATAAGGGAGTTTGTCGGTTTTTGCAGTATCCGGGGATGATCTTCTCTCTTGGCCCTTTGTTCTTCGTGAGAACCTGGCATTGCTAGGCTTGGTTTGGATGCGTGCAGTGTCTCTATGGACTTCTTTCTCGTCTTCATCGTCACTGTACACTGAGAGGAGATATGAGGTAGGGGTAGGGGGGGTGGTCTTGTGGGTCCTCCTCTCTTGACTTCTTGTAGAAGCTCGAGTCAAGGTTTCTTCCTCCAAGTCCTCATGGCTGACATGCGAATGAAGATGGGTGGGTCGGGGTCTCGACTCGATTCTTTTATCTTGATTTCTGAAAGAAACTCTCTTCGGGAGTTCCATCTCTGATTCATCATCACTAGACAATGAATCTGGAGGTATAGAGCTTGGTATTTTTTCCACTTTGCTTGCTTTCTCAGTGTAAAGATCTTTCCTGACACTGCTAGAAGGAACTGTCTGCAAAGAAGAAGACCTCGGATCAACCTCTACTGGGGCATGCTCTGCTACAGATTTGGACGATGTCTCTCTTGGCGGGCTCATTCCATAAGGAGGGAGAGTCTCTTTATTCTTGAATCCACTGGCTGGCCCAAACCGCAGACCCGTAGGAGTCTCTGCATCCGATTCTTCCTGAGTCTTGGAATCATCTGCTTGGTCCTCTGTGTCCGAGGGGAAAAAGTAGCGCCCTAAATCATCAGCAACTTCAGAAATATGGGACTTTTGAGATGTCAGCTTTGGATTTTCTTCGACACGTCCAGAAAGTATTCCTTTGTTCAGATTGTCTTCTTCACTTTCAGAATCTCGGTCATAATCGTCAAACATTGCAGATGGCTCAGGTTCATGCAGAGAAGCTGGTGGACTTGTAGGACCATCATCAAATAATGGAGAACTTGGCTTTTCAAGAACCTGTGAAGTTGAGACTGAGCTGGGTTGTCCCAGAGACTTTTGTCCTTCGAAGCTCCATGAATTTGTCTCTGTTGGCATATGATCAAGTGGTT